GTTCCATGCGTCCGTTATTGGATCGTTTTTGACTGAGGTAGTTTTTATATTGCGCTGCGCCGCCGTTGCCTAGCTGTTTGCGAGGGCGTTTGTTGTCACACCAACATCGTCGACAGCCCATTTCCTGTCAAGACCATCGTGGTCTGTTACTATCAATTCCTGCAGTAATGCCATTATTTTCCGTACGTACCATTGCATAGGGTCACTTTGGTTTCGAATCTGATTTTAATGTATCGCTCATTGGCGCAAGATGATCCACTGCTCTCGACGCGCACCCCGGCTTCAAATATCGTCCCAGCTATGACGCTAACAGCTGCGGGAGCCAGCCCGTCTGTCTCGGTAGTCTGGCTCGTGACTGTCAGCTGCTGACCGTCGGTGCTGTGAGCTGCGGGGCCCGCTCCCATGTGCGTCAGCGTGTCCTGGAGAGGACGCCGAGGCAGACGGCGGGCTGGTGTGTTGCACCGACGCCTCCTCGACAGTGTCCCGAGATGTGCTCCCTCCCGGCTGGTGTCCACGTCTGACCTGTGCACTGACGCCTCCTCGCCAGTATCCCGAGATGTGCTCCCTCCCGGCTGATGTCCACGTCTGACCTGTGCACGGACGCCTCCTCGCCAGTGTCCGAGATGTGCTCCCTCCCGGCCGGTGTCCACGTCTGACCTGTGCACGGACGTCTCATCGCCAGTGTCCCGAGATGTGGCCGGTATCCGCGTCTGACCTGTGCACGGACGCCTCCTCGCCAGTGTCCCGAGATGTGCTCCCTCCCGGCCGGTGTCCGTGTCTGACCTGTGCACTGACGCCTCCTCACCAGTGTACCGAGATGTGCTCCCTCCCGGCTGGTGTCCACATCTGACCTGTGCACCGACGCCTCCTCGCCAGTGTACCGAGATGGACGCCCTCCCGGCCGGTGTCCGTGTCTGACCTGTGCACTGGCGCCTCCTCACCAGTGTACCGAGATGTGCTCCCTCCCGGCTGGTGTCCACATCTGACCTGTGCACCGACGCTTCCTCGCCAGTGTACCGAGATGGACGCCCTCCCGGCCGGTGTCCGTGTCTGACCTGTGCACTGACGCCTTCTCGCCAGTGTACCGAGATGTGCTCCCTCCCGGCTGATGTCCACATCTGACCTGTGCACCGACGTCTCCTCGCCAGTGTACCGAGATGGACGCCCTGCTGCGCGAGCGCGCCGAGCGCCTGCTTCGGCCGCTGCAGTCGGCCGTCTCGGCTCTGCGTCAGCTGGCGTCGCTGCTGCCGTACCTGCCGCCCTCGCAGCGGCGCGCCACTCACCGCGTCCGATACTACCTGGCCTGGGTGGCGGCCCTCCGACAACAGCTCACCCCCGAAAGGTGAGCACCGGCCGCGTCGGGGGCGGGGACGGGCGCAGGGTGGTCTGGCAGGGGTGGAGCGCAGGGTGGTCTGGCGGGGGCGGAGCGCAGGGTGGTCTGGCAGGGGTGGAGCGCAGGGTGGTCTGGCGCGAGTGGAGCGCAGGGTGGTCTGGCAGGGCTGGCGGGGACAGGCCGCCGACAGGGAGAACCGGTCCGGGCTGACAGTGCAGCGCGGTGCGGCGGTGCTGCAGCAGTGCGGCGCGGTGCGGCTGTGCTGCAGCAGTGCGGCGACGGTGCGGGCCTACCCAATGCCGATCATGCCGAAGATGTTGGTCTGACTCGGCTTCGGTCCTCATCATACCACCACTGACCGGTTGTGGAGACACACTGACCTGAGACGTTTGCACTGAGACGTTTGCCGGGTGGCTGCGGGGACGTGGACTCTGCTGGTTAGTGGTTCGCCATGCTGTAGCTTGGGTGCGCTCTTTGATCTCTGAAGCCGAATTGGAGAGATTTGCTGACTGCGGTCGCGAGCCAGGCACCTGCTCCCACGCCACGGGTCTCAGCGCGGCGTCACAGCGCTGCCAACTTCTCCCGGAAATGACCGCCAAGGCGATATATGTTGGGATTCGCCAGCTCTGTGTCAATCCTCACCACTACGCCCTTCCGTGCCACTCACGTCCTCACGCCGCAAGCCGGCGCGGTGTTGCCGCCGGCTGTGGCGTTGCTGTGTGACGTGGCGTGACGAGAGCTGACCTGACCGGGCGGCCGGCGGCAGACTGGACGAGGTTCGCGGCCAGTTCCGCTCAGTGCTCGGCTCGGAGCCGTACTCGCCGCAGCGGGCGCGGCAGCTAGCCGAGGTGCGCGCCCAGTACCAGCACATCCAAGCGGCCAACACCTACCGCATGCAGGAGGTCAGTCAGGTGGCCACCAGGCGCCCGCCCGCTCCTCCTGAGCTCCTTGGAAGATCGGGCGACGCGGTGTTTACGCCTCGCTTGGCGGGTGGTGTTTTGGTCTCAGCGTCGCCACCTGCGAACATTTGACGTGTGCCGTCTGTGAGAGCTGATCTCGTGACTCGTGGAGCGCCGCTTAATGTGTTCTACTCCCACCTTACCCCTCTCCTCCGCCCACTAGGGCTACATCCGCCCATGCGGCGCACGACCTTTCCGCGATGGGCGTGCCATTTTGGCCTGGTCGGGCCGGGCCGGCTGGGTCAATGTGATCTCCTGGATCATTGAAGCGCCTTATTGTACAGTTCGCTGTGTGCTACGTAATACATTACTGCGGCGCAGCCATAGGGGACAGGTCCTGACCGCGTCAAACAGCCCTGGAAGCAGACCACTGTTGCACCGCTTTGTGGCTTCCAGCTTGTCCGTCGCCGTCAGATCTGGCTTGGTTTGACCGCCGCCCCCCTGGCTGCCCACCGCCCTCCCTCCGACCTTCCCCAGCCGATCTTTAACCTCCTCCGCCTTCCTCTGTTCTCCGCCTCCCTGACGTCCCCCCGGCGTCACTGACCTCCCTCGCTCCACCCATTGACCTGCACCTCTCTGACGTCCCCGCTAGTCTGAACTCCTCCACCTCGCGTCCCTGACCTCCGCACCTCTGACCTCCCCCCGCCCATCTGACCTACCCACCGGCTGCCGCAGCTGGAGACGCGGCTGGGCGGCGCCGATCCGGCGCAGCTGCTGGCTGAGCTGGACTCGCTGACGGCGCTGGCCGGCGCCGGCCCGACCGACGAGGAGCCGGCGCGCCGCTGCACCGTCATGTCCGCGCTCTACACGGCCGGCCGGCAGCTGCTGCGCATGGAGACTACGGCACACGGTGAGACGCCGCCGCGGACAAAAGGCGCGCGGGGCGTCGCCGAGACCGTCGGCGCTCGCTCTGGCAGCGGCTAGGAGGGCTGGCGGCTCGGCGGGCGGGCTGGCGGCTGGCCGGGCCGGACGACGAGGGCCGCTGGTGCCGGGCGTCGACTGGCGGTACCGCCGCCAGGGCGAGGTGGTCCGTCGCCGCAGCGATGTGCCGTGTGTTCTGTGGCCCGGTTAGACGTGTTGGGAGCGGGCGGGCCGGACGGGATGACGAGGCGTGCTTTCTCGAGAGCTGTCCCACGCTCACCTGGCCGGACGGGATGACGAGGCGTGCTTTCTCGAGAGCTGTGCCACGTTCACCTGGCCGGGCGGCCCGGTCCGGCCCGGCTCTGACAAGACAGCCCTCACCCCACCGGTCTGGCCGGATATGCCCTCCCTGACCCCGCCCTGACCCTGCTCGCCCCACGCC